AAAAAAAAAAAAAAAAAATCAGATATGTTTGTCACTTTTTGCCCCCAACCTTTTAATAAAACTTGAGAATAGGTCTGGTGCGGTGGCTCATGCCTGTAATCCTAGCATTCTGGAGGCCGAGGCGGGTGGATTGCTTGAGCTCAGGAGTTTGAGACCAGCCTGAGCAAAAACCAGACCCCTGTCTCTAGTAAAAATAGAAAACCTGAGGCAAGGGGATTGCTTGAGCCTAAAGAGTAGGACTGAATCCAAGAGTTGCTGCGAGCTGTGATGCCCTGGTACTCTACCCAGGGTGAGTTTGAGATTCTGTTTCAAAAAACAAACAAACCAAAAAAAAAAAACTTGAGAATAGTATGGTTAGCTAAGAATAAAGGCAAAAATCCATTGGTTAAATTAGGCCTTCTCTGTCTGATATAAATGGGCATTTTAAAAGACACCTGAATTTTACAGGATACAAAGTCTTGCTACATTGTAGTGTAGGGTACATACATAACTTGTAGAAAATTAGTAAGTAAGGAACCATATTGTCATTTGGCTAGAGGTACAACATATCATATAGTTTTTTTTTTTTTTTTTTGGACAGTACTTCACTATGTCACCCTTAGAGGCTATGGCATCACAGCTCACAGCAACCTCCAACTCCTGGGCTTAGGTGATTCTCTTGCCTCAGCCTCCTAAGTAGCTGAGACTACAGGCACTTACCGCAGTGCCTGGCTAGTTTTTTGTTGTGATTGTCGTTGTTTAGCTGGCACTTTCGGTGTATGTGGCTGGCTCTGTAACCACAGTGCTATGGGGACCGAGACAAATTTGAGGTATTTGTATAATTTTGAAATTCATTCCACTGTATACATAGCAAATGCTTAATAAATATTTGTTTACTGTTAAGTTTATGAGTTTTCAAGTTTTCATGATTTTTATGCTAGGTATCTTTCCAGACACAATCCAACACCGGGTGTGGGGTTCACATCTGTAATCCTAGCACTTGCGAGGCTGAGGCCGGTGGATTGCCTGATCTCTCACAGGTTTGAGACCAGCCTGAGCAAGAGTGAGACGTTGTCTCTAAAAAATAGCCAGGCATTGTGGTGGGCGCCTGTACTCCCAGCTACTTGGGAGGCCGAGGCAATAGAATCACTTGAGACCAAGAGTTTGAGATTGCTGTGAGCTGTGACGCCATGCCACTTTACCAAGGGTGACAAAGTGAAACTGTCTCTCAAGAAAAAAAAAAAAAAAGAAGTAGTGTTCCAGAGAAATGACAGAAAAAAAATGCAGCTACTCTAGTCAGACACAATCTGAAAGGTTAAACAATGCGTAAAAGAAAAAGTTTATGAGAAAATAGATGTGTTTTTTTAAAGTGTAAAGTTAAATATAAGAAAGAATCTGCTCAAAATGAGGTAGCACTGCCTATCTACTAGGATGGTGATAATTAAAAAGATGAAAAATAACAAGTGTTGACAAAGATACGGAGGAATTGGAACCCTCACACATTACTAACAGTAAAATAAAGTTGTAAGGAACAGATTGGTGGTTCCTCAGACAATTAAACATGGAGGGTCCATAAGACTCAGCGCTTCCACTCATAGGTATGTATTCCAAAGAACTAAAAAGAGGTATTCAAGCAAAAACTTGTGTATGAATGTTTATGGCAGCATGATCCACAGTACTGAGAAAGTGGAAACAGTATACAAGTTCATCAACAGGTGAATAATTAAAAAGTGGTGTATTTGTATAATGGAATATTATTAAGTCATAAAAAGGAAGTAAGTACTGAGATATGCATGGTCCAACATGGATGATCTTTGTTTTTCTTTTTCTTTTTTTTTTTTTATGAGACAGTCTCACTTTGTCACCCTTGGTAGAGTGCTGTGGTGTCTTAGCTTACAGCAACCTCAAACTCTTGGGTTCAAGTGATCCTCTTGCCTCAGCCTCCCAAGTAGCTGGGACTACCAGCACTCGTTGCAATGCCCGGCTATTTTTTCAAGATGGGGGTCTTGCTCTGGCTCAGGCTGGTCTTGAAACTGTGAGCTCAGTCAATCCACCTGCCTTAGCCTCCCAAGTGTTGGGATTATAGGTGTAAGCCAACCTAGCTAGGCATGGATGATCTTTGAAAACATGCTAAATAGGCTATACCTGTAATGTGGCTTATACCTGTAATCCTAGTACTTTGGGAGGCCAGGGAGGGAGGATTGCTTGAGCGCAGGAGTTTGAGACCAGTCTCTACAAAGAACAGAAAAATTAGTCAGGTGTTACGGCAGGCATTTGTAGTCTCAGCTATCGCTGCATCAGGAGGATTGCCTGAACCTGGGAATTTGAGGTTGCTGTGAGCTAGACTGACTGCATGGCATTCTAGTCTGGGTAATAGAGTGAGACTCTGTCTAAAAAAAAAACAACTCCAAACAAATCCCAAAACAAACAAAAAAACCATGCTAAATAAAAGAAGCCAGACCAAAAAGACAACAGACAACGTGATTTCCTTTATATGACATATTCAGAATAGGTCCAGAGTCAGAAATATGATTAATGGTTACCAGGACCGTAGGGTAGAATTGAAATGGGAAGTGACTGTTTAATGGGGTGATGAAAAAGTTCTGCACAACATTGTGAATTACTTAATTCAGTTGAATTATATATTTTAAAATGGTTAAAGTGGTAAATTTTATATTTTGTGTATTTTGTCATAATAAAAAATGTAAAAGAAAAAGAATCTACTTTTATTTTGGAGTTTGTTCATTTTAAGAAATTTTGGGGCTGAACACAGTGGCTCACACCTGTAATACCAGCACTTGGGGAGTTAGAGCTGGGAGGATTGCTTGAGGCCAGGAGTTTGAGACTAGCTTGGGCAACATAGTAAGACTGTCTCTGCAGAAATTCAAAAAATTAGCTACGTGTGGTGACACGTACCTATGGTCCTAGCTACTCAGAGGCTAAAACCAGGAGTTGGAGGTTGCAGTAAGTGGTGATTGTGCCACTACATTCCAACCTGGGCAACAGAGTAAGACCTTGTGTCATCCCCCCACCCCCAAGAGGGAAGAGCTCCTGCAGTATAAATCTAAATTCTTGTATCCAGGGCTTCCCAGTAACATTAACATGTTAGGTCAGGTTACTCTAATGCTTAATGCTTCACAAAGTATGTGTTGTTTAAGATGATTTTAGGTGGTAAGGATATCATTGCTCAGAATAATAAGAAAAAAATGAGCAGATTTAAAGAAAAATATGTAGCACATAATCACAGTGATGAGAAGCAAATATGGCAAAATTCGTGATGATGAGTTTCAAGCGAATGGAGTTTATTCAGTGAAGTTTCAGAAATACTGTGTAGTCTCAAACTCTGATTTTTTTGTGACTTCAATTTAGATTACCATGATTAAGTAAATCCATAAGTATGTACTTTTTGGACTGATGATTGGAAAGGGAGAATAAAAAATTGATTTTAGTTTTTTATATGATACCCTAGCAAAAACTGATCCCAAAAATGAAGAAGAAGAAAAGCGACGAATTGAGGCTCGACGGGAGAAACAAAGGCGCAGAAGAGAGAAAAACAGCGAGAAGTATGGAGATGGATACAGGTTTGTGCATAATAGAGTTAGAAAATTTGGCCCATGGCTCAGCACCCATAGCACAGTGGTTGCGGCACCAGCCACATACACAAAGGCTGATGAGTTTGAACTCAGCTGGGGCCAGCTAAACAACAATGACAACTGCAACAAAAAATAGTCAGGAGTTGTGGTGGGCCCCTGGTAGTCCCAGCTACTTGGGAGGCTGAGACAAGAGAATTGCTTAAGCCCAAAAGTTTGAGGTTGTTCTGAGCTGTGACGCCACAGCACCGTACTGAAGGTGACATAGTGAGACTCTGTCTCAGAAAAAAAGAAAATTTGGCCCATTAAAAAATAATTTCCTAGAAAAGGAAAATATATCAATTGAGTCAAAGGAAACATCTGATCAAAGATTTATATCATATTACGAAATTACCACTTAAAAAGCATAAGAAAGATTCTATTCATAATGGTACTTTGAAAAATACCAGTCAGAAACAGTATTTCTAAAAGAAATACATGTCACAACTTGAACAAAACCACAAAGACTTCTTGAAATTTGCATATATGGTAAAATAGTGATATTCTTAGAAAAGAAACTAAATATTATAAATATACAATTTTTCCAATCTATATTCCAAAGAAAATTCTGGAAAAGAAGAATAAATGAGTAGGTACTAACTTCTATATGTTGAAACATTAAACATTGGTAATACTTAAACATGTAGTCAAAGCTAATTAATGTAACAGAATTATTAACTGTGAACAGACTGCGTTATATGTAAGAATATAATATATACCAAAGACATGAACAAAAGAGGAATCGGTTAATCAAATAATAACAAAAAGTGGGTTTAGATTTTCTTCATATGCCATCTCGAACAAATCCAAATAGGTTAGATTAAAAACTTGAAAAAAAAAAAACTTAAAAAAAAGAAAAATTATAGAAAATACAATGCTCTGAAAGGAGATTTTTCCCCCCCCCAGTCATAAAAGTTACTTACAGAATAAGTTATGAGGAAAATGATAAAATAGATTTGGCTAAATAAAAACTTAAAAACTTCAAAGCCCACAGACTTGGAAATATAAGAAATGATTAATGTCTACATTAGGTAAAAATCATTCTAAGTTTTTTCAAAAACAAAGAGAACTAAGATGTCTAATACTTAATTTGGTGAAGGAATGATAGCTAGTTAATAATTTTAGGAAAGTCAGCTAGGCCCAGTGGCTCATGCCTGTAATCCTAGCACTCTGGAAGGAGGATTGCTTTCGGCCAGGAATTTGAGACCAGCCTGAGCAAGAGCAAGATTCTGTCTGTACAAAAAATAGAAAAATAAGCCAGGTGTGGTGGCCTGCACCTGTAGTCCCAGCTACTCAGGAGGCTGAAGCAGGACAACTGCTTGAGTTTGAGGTTGCAGTGAACCAAGATGACTCTATTGCACGCTAGCCTCGGGAACAGAATGAGAGTGTGTCTGGGATGTTGATGAAACTTGTGATAATTTAAATAAACTGAAAGTTTAAATAGTAGTGTGCCATTTTATTAGTGAAGATGAAAGAAATACTGATTTGCCAAGGTGCAAAGGACCTAGTTTGCTAGTGGCTGTATAATATAACTTTTGGAAAGCAATTTACCAGTTTTTAAAAATATCTGAAAATTTCCTATATCCATTGATCTCTCCAAGAAAATAATCTGGCTTGGCGCCTATAGCTCAACCGGCTAAGGCGCCAGCCACGTACACCTAAGGTGGCGGATTTGAATCCCCAGCCTGGACCCGCCAAACAACAATGACGGCTGCAACCAAAAAATAGCTGGGCGTTGTGGCGGGCGCCTGTGGTCCCAGCTACTTGGGAGGCAGAGGCAGGAGACTCGCTTGAGCCCAGGAGTTGGAGGTTGCTGTGAGCTGTAATGCCACGGCACTCTACCCAGGGGGACAGCTTGAGGCTCTGTCTCAAAAAAAAAAAAAAAAAAAAAAAAAGAAAAAAGAAAATAATCTAAAAAGATGCCGATTATAACATTACTTATAAAGACCCCCCAAAGGAACCAGTTGCTAGCCTTAGGGAATGATCAAGTATATGTATGGTTTGATATATCCCTTTATCAGCTCTTAGGCCCATGTTAACAATGAAAAAAATCCAGGTAAAAATGCAGGTAAAATAGATAAAATGTAGGTATATATGCAAAATATAAATTGTTCATAGAAAAAAAAAGACCCTGGAAAATGTTTTAAAAGGACTATAATTGGTTTTTTCCCCCATAATTTTTTGTGAAATCTTTCCAAGCACTACTTAAGCTAGGAAAATAAAGAATATAAAATTTAAAAAGTAAATTCAGGCCAGCAGCCATGGCTCATGCCTATAATCATAGCACTCTGGGAGGCTGAGGCAGTTGGATTGCCTGAGCTCATAGGTTCAAGACCAGCCTGAGCCAGAGTGGACATTCTTAAAAACAGGTGGACATTCTTGCAGTTGCCTGTAATCTCAGCTACTTGGGAGGTTGAGGCAAGAGAATTGCTTGAGCCCATGAGTTTGAGGTTGCTGTGAGCTGTGATGTCATGGCACATTACCAAGGGCAACAAAGTGAGACTGTGTCTCAAAAAAAAAAAAAAAAAAGTGAATTCAGTATGTTTTCCATTTAAAATGCATATTTATTCTTTACAAGTTGATTCCGTGTAGCGAAAGGAACTAAAGATTCACATTAGTGAATTTTCTAGGTAGCTAAAACTTCTATCTTTAAAAGATAAATTTCTCTTTTTGAGACAGTTTTACTTTGTCACCCTTGGTAGAGTGCCTAGCTCACAACAAACTCAAACTCTTGGGCTCAAGTGATCCTCTTGCCTCAGACTCCCAAGTAGCTGGGACTGTAGGCGCCTGGCACAATGTCTGCCTAGTTTTTCTATTTTTAGTAGAGACGGGGTCTCACTCTTCCCCAACTGGTCTGGGACTTCTGAGTTCAAGCAACCCACCTGGCTGGGTCACCCAGAGTTCTAGGAATAGGCATGAGCCACTGCACCCAACCTAAAAGATAAATTTTTTTTCCTTTTTATTAAGTCATATACACATAGATTATGAGTACATTTATGCATTTGTGGGGTACAATGTGTTGATTTTTTATACAATTTGGAGTGCTTACATCAAACTAATCAACATAGCTTTCACCTCATTTACTTAATTATTGTGTTAAGGCATTTATGTTCTATTCTTGATAGATTTGACTTGGACCCTTGCAGTATGCTCCAATAAAAGATAAACTTTTAAGGGAAGAATCCACAACTCTTTTGATGGATTTGTTCTTAAATGTATGACTTTCTTTCCATATTAAACAGAGTTCTCTTTGTTATTACTTGGTCTCCATGTATACATTAGTTTTGTTTATGTGAAATGTAGTGAAAGAAACTCAGTTGTATCCAAATTCTCAGATGCTTTTTGTTTGTTTGGTCCTTCTTTGATTATGTATTTATTTTTTGAGACAGAGTCTCAAGCTGTCACCCTGGGTAGAGTGCTGTGGCATCATAGCTCACAGCAACCTCCAACTTGGGCTCAAGTGTTCCTCTTGACTCAGTTTTTCTATTTTTACTAGAGTTGGGATACTTAACTTTTGCTCAGGCTAGAACTCTTGAGCCCAAGCAGTCTACCCCCCTTGACCTCCTAGAGTGCTGGGATTATAGGCGTGAATAACCGTGCCCGGCCAGTCTTCTTTGATTTTAGTCTGCTAGATATACTTATCTAATATTAGCATCTAGCTTTAATAACCTCTATCCTTTGTCTGGTTTGTAATTCCCACTTTGTTAGGACCTGAGAAACGATAGTATTAAGCTTACTAAGAATTAGTCCATAAGGTTCCGCGCCTGTGGCTCAAGCCGCTAAGGCATCAGCCACATACACCTGAGCTGGCCGGTTCAAATCCAGCCTGGGCCTGCCAAACAACAATGATGGCTGCAACCAAAAAATAGCTGGGCGTTGGGGTGGGCGCCTGTGGTCTCAGCTACTTGGGAGGTGGAGGCAGGAGAATCGCTTGAGCCCAGGAGTTAGAGGTTGCTGTGAGCTGTGATGCCATGGCACTCTACCCAGGGTGGCAGCTTGAAGCTCTGTCTCAAAAAAAAAGAAAAGAATTAGTCCATAAAAATAACTTTCAGTTTTAAGAGTATTGCTATTTTTGGTCTTTGTAAGTATTTCTCACGCTCTTTATCTCTTGTAATTCCTTCTTTTGACAGTGGTAACAAGCTTAGGTTATACTTTGGTGCAGAAATGAATTGAAATTATCAAATATGTAGGAGTCTAAAAACGGTTTTGCATTATCAGATTCACTTTTCTATTTAATTACTCTATGAAAACTTTTCTCATTAAAAATTAGAGATTTGGATATGGTATATTCATGTGTTAATATAGGGCACATAAAGTTTAAATTAGTTGACTATTTTAAGTCACCCAAGAACTTTATGTACACCCTGTATGATTTGGAGAAAATGAAAAATTGAACTTCTATTTAGCTGTTTTCTCCTTATCTCTATTAACCTGATAATGTAAGTATGTCAGTTCATTTAAATTATCATTTTTGGATAAGAATCCTTTAAAATAGTCTAAAATTATTTTAATTTACCAAAGCAGTTTTACTTTTATTTAGAAGAATTAGAGATTGAGTAAATGACTATTCTTGTGATATATTCCTTCAGATATTTGAATGCTTTCAACATCATAAAGAGGATGGAAAGGTGACTATGTATACCTACCTTTAAGGGAACACGGAGAATAGGGATGGATGTGTGGCAGGTATACACAGACAACAGTATATGATGAAGATTGCCAGAAGGAAAGTGCAAAGTAGTCTTATGAGAGATAACTTCTAAATAAGAGGGCAGGGAAATCAGGGGAGGCTGCATGATGGAAATGATACTTGAACTGATCGAGGAATGTTAGGGTGCAGGAGGAGTGGGGAGAGGCGGCTCAGGTAGAGGATGTAGTTTGGTGTAAAAGCAAAGAAAGAGGAATATTTTATTGATATTCAGGAAATGGAAAGCTATGTGGAGCGAAGTGACTAGTGAGGTGAAAGGTATAATCTATTTTATGTATTTTTTGTGCAGGTTTTTCTTTTTTTTTTTGGCTGGGCCTGGGTTTGAACTCGCCACCTCTGGCATATGGGGCCCATTCCCTACTCCTTTGAGCCACAGGTGCCACCCAAGGTATAATCTAATTTAAACATTTAATGAAGGCACATTATGTGTGAGATACTGTTGAGGTATTGGCAGGTAAAACCAGAAAGACAGGAGAGGTTGGGAAATTGCCTGAAAAGCTTCTGACTGTGCTATTTCAGCCTTAATGAGCCAGTGAAGTCTTTTGAGCCACAGTGTGCTCTTACCTCCTTTAGGAAGTAACAATATTAACTGAATAATTAGTATGTGTCTGGAACTATTCTAAGGGCTTCACGTGTATTAATTTTTTTTTTTTTTTTTTTTGGCCAGGGCTGGGTTTGAACCCACCACCTTCAGCATATGGGCTGGTGCCTTACTCCTTTGAGCCACAGGTGCCGCCCTGTATTAATTTTTTAAATCCTAACAAAATCTGCAAAGGTTCTCATCTCATTATGATAATAAAACCAAGGCCCTGGGCAGTGTCTGTGGCTCCATGGGTAGGGCGCTGGCCACATATATCGAGCTCGGGTGGCAGGTTCAAACTGGCCCTGGCCAAATTGCAAGAACAAAAAAGCCGAGCGTTGTGGCAGGCACCTGTAGTCCCAGCTTCTGGAGAGGCTGAGGCTGAGGCCTTTCACCTCACGAGTCACTTCGCTCCACATAGCTTTCCATTTCCTGAATATCAATAAAATATTCCTATTTCTTTGCTTTTACACCAAACTACATGAGAATTGCCTAAGCCCAGGAGTTGGTGGTTGCTGTGAGCTGTGTTACGCCATGGCACTCTACTGAGGGTGATAAACTGAGTCTCTGTCTCTACCGAAAAAAAATAAAATAAAATAAAAAAATTAAACTAAGGCCCAAGGTCACAAAAGGGAGTGAGGATATAAACCCAGGAGTTAGTTCCAGAGCCTGGTTTCTCAACTAGGAAAACAAATCTAATAACAAAATCTAATTGCAAAGAGTTAACTGGAAAATAAGACTGGAAACAGAAACCAGTTAGGTGTCTGTTGTCATATGTCAAGGACCAAGAGCTCTATGAAAATGAATTACGGGCTCTGCACCTGTGGCTCAAGAGGCTAAGGCGCCAGCCACATACACCTAAGGTGGTGGGTTCAAATCCAGCCTGGGCCTGCCAAGCAACAATGACGGCTGCAACCCAAAAAATAGCCGGGCATTGTGGCTGGCGCCTGTGGTCCCAGCTACTTGGGAGGCTGAGGCAGGAGACTCGCTTGAGCCCAGGAATTGGAGGTTGCTGTGAGCTGTGATGCCACACAGCATCAGCCGGGGGGAAGGCTTGAGGCTCTGTCTCAAAAAAAAAAGAAAATGAATTATGGTTGTCAGTATTATCACTCGACTTTGTTGATAACTACCTTAGTGGTTTAAAAGCTTAATGATAAACAGCATGTAAAATAAGTTACAGAGCTTTGGAACTTGACACTTCTTGAGGTTTGCTTTGAATGTTTTAATTGGTCTAGGTTTGAAGTGAATAGTTAATAGATCTACTCATTCTGTTTCTCTTACCCAATGCTCCAAGGTGGACTAGAAGTACAAACTGGTATGATGACTGTGCTGTATAAATAGGCACTTTAAGTAGTACTGTTTTTCTGACTTAAGCTAAATTTAAGTCATTTGTAATATGGAGAAAGGAAATCATTTATGCTGGTAAAATTAATTTCAGTGGTATATTCTTAAGAACTCTTAGTCCTAAGTGAATAAACCAATATTTAAAGAAAAACTTTTTTTCCTTTTTAGAATGGCATTTACATGTTCATTTTGTAAATTTCGAACATTTGAAGAAAAAGATATTGAACTGCATCTGGAAAGTTCTTCACACCAGGAGACATTAGATCATATTCAGAAACAAACCAAATTTGATAAAGTAGTTATGGAGTTTTTGCATGTAAGTAGTTTTTGGAGTGAGAAGCATTTATCTGTTGTGACTTTCTTATAATTTCATTTCTTACAATCTCCTATCTCATTTTGTTTTTTTTTAAAACTTAATGTGCTATTTATTAAAAGACAGTATTGTTATAAAATTAACCCAGAATTAGAAGTGGATTCCTATAATGATAGAACTTGAACGTACTGTTTGGGAAATAACTTTCCATTTTTCATGGTAGTTTCTGGCTGAGGTGTCACAAAAAGAATTCCTTTATAGTAACTGTTTATTCTTTCTTTCTCTTAGCTGTCATTCATTGAGAGTATACTGTGGACCTGGGGTTATGCTGCATACTTTCAGTTGAACCTCATAACAACTCATTATTACCATGAATGATCATTCAACGGTTAGATGATTTTGTCAGGGAGGCAGTTTTAATTTAGATCCAGAGAGCCTGGTATCTGTTTAGTGTGCTTTGTATTATTAACCAGTTTACCAGTTTTTTAAAAGTACCTAAGAAAGATACTGTGTCAAGCCCTGAAGAACTAGACACTATCCTCAATGAACTAGTAAGAATTGGAAATTGAATACAGTCACAGATGATAGAGTTAAATGGCAATGCCAAGAATGCAGAAATTTGAGAAAAGATTTTAATTCTTACATAGCAGATATTGTATCTTCTATAGGAAGAGCATGGTGCTAAGCATATACTAAGTGCTCATTGAAAAGTATTTGGATTCTTTCTATTTTGTTTTCTAGGAATGTATGGTGAATAAATTCAAGAAAACATCTATTCGTAAGCAACAGACAAATAATCAAACAGAAGCAGTCAAAGTAATTGAAAAAGATGTTATGGAAGGTAAATAGTTAAATAGTTTTATAAATTTACATGTGTATTTTATGTCCCATAACCTGTAACCTGTTCCAATTAGGTAAACGATAGCTCCTAGAGTTATAAAGTACACATTCATACATGCTTTATCCCTGGGTGAGTTATCAGAAAGGAACTTCTTTGATTCCTGTTCTCATGTTTATAAATTTATCACTACCTACCATTACCTCTTTCACTTTAGTTTCAGAGGAAAAGGCATCTTTTCCTCTAGATGAAAGATATTTTCTGTCTATTCTCTGTTCCTCTTATTCCTTCTCATCTTCTTAAGTTCAGATTGTGAACTCTTCGTCTTTCCTTATCTTTTGATTCCATCTCTGGGGCCTATAAATAAGGTCTTACGTTAAAAAAACAAGAACAACCAACTAACAAAAGGAACTAAAGAAAAGGATTTAGTTCTCTCAAACTTTTTCTTTTTTTTTTTTTCTTTCTAAATAACCAGTAGTTCTTCAAACATAGCCCACACTGGTCTCTTGCTTCTTCACTTCTTGTTTATTACTTTATGCATAGTAATCAACTTTCTACAACCATTGGTCTACTGAAACTGCTCTGACAGAAGTTACTGACCCTGACTTCCATAGGTTCTTTGGAATCATTATCTTTTGTAACATTTTTCACTAACTGCTTTCTTTCTGAATTATTTTCTTTCCTTGGTTTCTGTGATACCTCACTGGTCTAATGTTCTCTTCTCATTTTTTTTTACTCTCTGTGCTTTTCTTTCTCTATCAGTCTTTTAGAATTTGATATTTCTCAGTATTCTGTTATTAGTCCCATTTCTGTCTCCATATTTCTTCCTGATGAATTTACTTAGCTTAAATTAATGTCAAGATTTTTTTTTTTTTTTT